GCTCGGCCCTGGGGGATATATTTTGTCAGTTTGAGGTTCACGCCGTTCAGGAAACGGACCAAAAAATAAAATAAAATAAAATAAAAGCAGATGCCCCAGTGCAGAGCTGCTAAGAGAGGCCCGTCGTGGTTCTGAAAGCTAAGGAGGTGTTTCAGGCGTGTTACACCTCTCTCCGCCTTCCTCCCGGGTGGATGGAGCGCTAACAAGGCTTTGTGCTTCCTAATGCGGCCACCGCTTGTCACGCAACTCGACGGCCCTTGGCGCCCTCAAAACCTCCGCACCTCTGTCAGATGGGGTGGAGACAGGCCAAGAGGTTGAAAAGCTTCTGTGGAGGGACGCTGGGAAAAAAAAACAAAAACAAAAACAAAAACCCAGCAATTGCACAAACCTGATTTCTTCAGGAACGGAAATTGCGGGCAACAGGAGAAATAGAGCAAAAGGAAGAAGGCATTCAGTGCTACAAATCACAGAGCCCAAAATTACCTGAGAAGCATGGTTGCCGTGGAGAAGCCAGAGAAGATTTACATTTGCGACTTAGACACAGCCCTAGAAAGTGCTTCCAGCCACGTTTCTGGAACTTCAGAAATGCTACCTGATTTGGCAGAAACAAAGGAAGAGCAAAACTCAGTCAAATTTTGGCACTGATGCCAAATCTGGGTATTGCTAGATGCTATTACATAAATAAAGCAGGTCGCTCGCCACATTTTGGACGTTACTAGTTAGGTACAGATGGTTGACGGTCCCATTTGGCTATGAACCTGCAGCGGAAGAAAATCAGCATCTCTAGCAGGGTATGCTAATGGGTCTCGGAGGGATCAACATCTTCTCAAACGACATTCTTGTACAGAGACGCAGAAAGAGCACGGGGGTATTTCACAGTCACAGTTTCACCTGTCTGTTAGAAAAGTTGAGGGAAATAATCTTAGATATAAGAAAACATAATGAAACTGTGACTGGCTGCACTATCCTAGAGAGGATACATGTTGACTTCCCAAAGGTTGTGACCAAATCCCCTAAAAGGTAAAAGAAATATAACACGGATATTATATCAGTTCAAAGACACTTAGGATTTCTAAATGACCCGACACTATCAGATGTCGCCATGTGAAGAAGACAAGCATGGAGTGCAGCGCCAGGAAGGCAGGGCTTGGAGACAGAGCAGATAGTTTTTGCGTTGAGGTCATCGCTACCAATATGTCAGAATGACCTGTTAAATTGAAATAAAGGAATAGCTTTGAACAGAGTTCAGATGCAAAAAAAATCAGCCAGTGTGTTCAAGACAGGAAAAAATATATGTTGAAGGTGACCGGAAATCCATGGAGAACCACAGCAGCATTAAATGCTGCTAAATTTCTTCAACTCACGCTATTGAAACTCCAGCATATACTTCAAGAAGTGCATACTCGAAGAAGTCCCTTAAAACAGTGCTTCTTCCCTGCTTACTGTAAATGCCACTTAAGCAAACTATTTTCACTCTAAACTTATGCAAAGGTAGCGTTCGTCTTCCACAAGAGTGCGCGAGATTGTACAACACAGAGAAGCTGGGTCTAGAAGCTGTGAGAGGGCCCGATTCCCTCACGTTCCACATTACTTTGTGGCCAAACAGCATGAAAACGGCCTTTTTGTGTTACTGCAGGACTGCCTGCCACGGGGGCTAGCGCTGCAGTACTTGCAAACACTTCCTCCATGTGGGTAATAGTGTGAAACAACTCATCTGGAACAAAGGACTGAGACTGTGTCTCCCTCATGCTTTAAAGGGTTAAAAATGGACTTAAACTGCTTCCCCTTTTATCACATGAAGTTTGTAAGCAACTTCACGTTGTATCACTTGGCGTGGCAGCATGAAGAGGGTTAAGGAGGAAGCCACATTTTGCTCTTGCCATCAAATAGTGAGGAGCAGTTGATTTAAAAGACAACTAAAAGCTATTTTTGTACTGTCCTAACAGGCATTTGGACTGGCAAGAGAAGATCCTTAACATCATAAATGAAAAAAAAAAGCTATTGCATTAGGCTCCTAAATGAATGGGAACTTCTACTCAGTCACACAGGCATATAATAGACTGAGTGTGTGCAAAGGGTCAGTACTCCTCAGACCATAAAGAAGCTGCAAGTTAAGGCTGAGAGGAACAGCAAAATACTTAAAATAAGCATTTTCCTATTTTGACTCCTCTATGTCTCTTCTCAATAATTAAATTTCTCTGAAATGTTGAAACTCAAATCTATTCACTACCACTTCTAAAATGCAGAAGTATTTCCAATATTACATAAATCACTGTAGTTTCAGACAGGGCTATTACGGGATTTCAAAGCAAAGCAGCAAAACAAGGAAACAGTCCCATAGCACAGAAAACTTGTCAGCCCTTGATATAAGCCTGCAATCTCTGTCCTCTACCCTTGCCAAAGTGGATTTAAATAAATATTCAAAATCACGTGTTAAAAGCAAAGTGCTTTTCTGACCCACTGTAATGCAAACTAGTTGGCATTTAAGTTGTAAAGTACATTAATTGTAGTATATTACATTTATCAGATGAAATAGAAGTAAACAATAATTTCTAAAAGTGGCATCTCTTGTAAGAAATTCATGATTCCGTAAGATCTATATATTCATTCACATTATGGATTTACACTGTGTAATTCTCATGAGCAAATGCTTTAACTATCTTAACTTATCTAGATATCTTAATTCCTAGTGCCTATTTTGTGCATAAGCTCTGTTCCCCTAAGTAACCAAAAGCATGGTTAGTTAAACAAACTTTGGCATAGTCATACAAGCACTTGGGATGCTTTTTGAATTACTGAACTGGGGTGCTGAGCTAACTTGCTCTACCTTGTGCTGAACTGGATCAGCAGCTCTCACAGTCAGGGCAGTAAGATCCTGCTTTGGGAAAATACCAAAGGCCTGGATGTATAGTGGGAGCTTGGTAGCTCACATGCAATCACGGATGAGACACATACAGTAAGCCAGCTGAACTGAATTTCGCACTAGTCTCCTGGCTTGAATGCCTCAGCTTTATGCCTAACTTTAGGTGTGGTCAATCACTGCTAAGGAACAGCCACGACTTAAACTGCTTGAACTCAAATCACTTCTTAATTATGCTCGGATGCTAGTCTCGGTTGCAGGCAAGCAGGCTGCAGAAGCCTCCGAGATGGTTTTGTGTGAACTCCCTCGGGTCTTGCAGCAGCATAGCTACTTCCTCCGGAGAGGAGGTGCAGCCAGGACTCCTCCATGGGCCCACGGCGGCCTCCTGAACCCAGCTGGAGTGTTGGAAGGACCTTTCAGACACACCGCCTGCGTTCACATGCTCGCTGGCAGTCTCCACGCTTCCTTGTCAATAGTCACTTGCCTT